GGGGTGACGCCGCTCTCTCGGAGCCCCGGGGACGCGAGGCCACGCGGGGCCGTGGGGGCCCCGTGGCCGCGCGGCGTCCTGTCCACAACCCAAGTCCTGGGTGGCCCTTGGCCCTCTTGCCTGGGACCCACGCCCTGGTGAGAAACCTCCATTCCCTGAGGACCGTCTCCTTCGGGAGACTTCCTGGTCCCTCCCCACGACTCTGGGATCCACCGCTAGACCCTAGGGGATTACGCTCAAGAACCTGAAGCCGCTTCTCTCCACCTCTGCCCAGCCCCCGGATGTCACCCCTGGACTGCTGCGGGCCACCCCGGGTCCTGGCCCCCAGCTTTCCCATGGAGCGGATCCAGCCCGAAACGCACTCTGGCCAAGAGAGGGGTGTGAGAGGGACCAAGTCCCCAACCTCGCCCTAACACAAACGGGAGCATTTGTACCCCGTCCCCAGGTGAACCAGGGGAATATGCCCGGGATCCAGAGCACATTCCTGGCCATGGACACGGAGGAGGGGGTAGAAGTGGTGTGGAACGAGCTCCACTTTGGCGACAGGAAGGCTTTCGCAGCCCATGAGGTGAATCCCATCGCCCTCGTCCCCAGTCCTGTCCCGTGATGGCCCATGACTGCCCCCCTCCTCCCAGGAGAAGATCCAGGCCATGTTTGAGCAGCTGGCGCTGGTGGACCACCCCAACATCGTCAAGCTGCACAAGTACTGGCTGGATGCCTCTGAGGCCCGTGCCAGGGTGAGCTACTGGGCGGAGTGGGGGTGGGGCGTGGCCTGGGTCTGGGTGGAGCAGCTGCGGGGACCCACCCGCAGTGGCGGAGCCGTGAGCCCGCCCGCCCCACAGGTCATTTTCATCACGGAGTACGTGTCATCGGGCAGCCTCAAGCAATTCCTCAAAAAGACCAAGAAAAACCACAAGGCCATGAATGCCCGGGTATGGGGAGTAGGCTGGGGACAGGGAAGGGAGGGTGGCCTCTGGGAAAGGGATGGGGCTGGAACACAGGTCAGCCCCGGAAAGGGGCGGGGCGGCGGGTGGGCTTCGCAGGCCCTGCCACTTCTCTTGCGCCCACCCGACGGGAGTCCTGCGTCCGCTGCCAGGCCTGGAAGAGATGGTGCACGCAGATCCTGTCCGCGCTCAGGTGAGGACCTAGGCTTGTCCGCCTGCTTGCCCTGCTGCGCTGACCTCTCTGGCGCCCCGTGACCCGGCTCTGCCTGCTCTCCCCCAACGCCTGCAGTTTTCTGCACGCCTGCAGCCCCCCCATCATCCACGGGAACCTGACCAGCGACACCATCTTCATTCAGCATAATGGCCTCATCAAGATCGGCTCTGGTGCTGGCAGGGAGGGGCTGGGCAGGGGGGCAGGGCTGGGGAAACCTGTCGCAAGTCGAGGTCAGAGGACACCCCACGACCCAGGCCGCTGACACCCGCTCTTTCTCCCCGTGGTCTCCTTCACAGTGTGGTACCGCATCTTCTCCAATGGTTCGTGCGGGATAGGGGTGGGGATGGGAGCCCTGGCAAGGCCGGTCTGCTCAGCGCCTCTGCCCCTTCTTTAGCGCTCCCGGATGATCTAAGGAGCCCCATTCTTGCTGAGCGAGAGGAACTTCGGAACCTGCACTTCTTCCCACCAGAATATGGCGGTAAGTCTTGGAGGGACCTGTGGCACCTACCCAGCCTGCACATCAGTCCTACCCACCTGCCTCACTCTTCCCTTTCAGAAGTTGCAGATGGGACTGCTGTGGACATCTTCTCTTTTGGGATGTGTGCACTGGAGGTACTGGCACCTTTCCTCCTAGCCCATTCCCAGCTGGCCTCCACCCCATCTCATGGGTGCTGTCCCTTCCCCATGTTGGCCCTGCAACCTCAGATGGCTGTGCTGGAGATCCAGGCTAATGGGGATACCAGAGTCACAGAGGAGGCCATTGTTCGAGCCAGGCACTCACTGAATGACCCCAACATGCGAGTAAGCAGCTTGCCACTACCCCTACCCCGAATCAATGTGCCCAGTGTAGGGCCACTGAGGTACCCAGGCAGGCCAGAGGTATGGCCAGGTTAATGCAGGGGAAGGGTGTGCCAAACTCTGGCCCACTGTCAAGAAAGACTCCACTAAGAGCTCATGCAGGGTTGCAGGCCGGAATGGGTCAGAGCATTAAAAGAACAAGGAAACCAGAGAGACATTCCCTATGTAGGTACTGTTTTATAACAGTAATAAGGCTGAAGGCTGCCTAAGGCAGTGGAGTGAGCATTTGCACCCAGATCTGCCTGGCTCCAGGTCCCTGCCTTTAAGATCCAGGTCCAGCTTGTGTGGAGGACTGTGGTGGGCACAGGGCAGGCAAGGGAGATAGAGGGTGGAAGCCACACAGCATTTCTGGTCCAAATCCAGTGGCTTTGGACCCAGAAATGCTGTGTGGCTTGCATGCTTTTGTGGACGGGAGATGGGAGAACGGGACCTGACTGGGCATGAGAGGCCAAGGAGGGCACCAATGTCTGCAGGGTAGGGACGAACCAAAGGTCATCTCCAGAGCTGGGTCTAAGTTGGGGTGATCAAAAGGGTTTAGACTGTGGATAGGAGAACCTGCATCTGTGAATTGGGAGTCATAGCACTCATTCCCCGCAATTCCTATGAAAGTCAAGGAGAGTAGAGCTGATGTTCTCATGAGATGCTGTCTCTTGTGCATGTTCCTGTAGCATCCCTGAGTGAGGAGGACATGGGGATTGGGCCCCTGGGTCCTGGGGGCTCCAGGGTACCTGATGTCTCCACACTGAGGGGTTAGAGCAGAGAGCCTGCCCCACCCACCTCTCCTCCCTACCCTAGGAGTTCATCCTCTCCTGCCTGGCCCGGGACCCTGCCCGACGGCCTTCTGCTCACAACCTCCTCTTCCACCGAGTGCTCTTCGAGGTACACTCGCTGAAGCTGCTGGCAGCTCACTGCTTTATCCAGCACCAGTGTAAGAACCAGGCAGTGGGCTGGGTCAGGGACCTAGGGTTGGAACACAGAAGAGGCCTTGCAGGGCCTGTGACTCAGGCCCACCACCCTGAGTACTGCTGTGGCCCACAGACCTCATGCCTGAGAATGTGGTGGAAGAGAAGACCAAGGCCATGGACCTGCATGCTGTCTTGGCAGAGGTCCCCAGGCCCCAGCAGCCCCCAATGCAATGGCGGTGAGCAGCGGTTGCCCAACAGCCTCCCCTCTCCCTCCCTGCCTGCCCCTGGCCAGCTATCACTCATGCACCTCCTGCCCTGTGCCAGGTACTCAGAGGTCTCCTTCTTGGAGCTGGACAAATTCCTGGAGGATGTCAGGTGAGAACTGGTGTGAGACTGGGAACAGGCTCTTCCGGGCCTGAACCCCCAGCCATATCCTGGTGTGTCTCCAGGAATGGGATCTACCCACTGATGAATTTTGCTGCTGCTCGGCCCCTGGGGCTGCCCCGTGTATTGGCTCCACCCCCGGAGGAGGCCCAGAAGGTCAAGACCCCGACTCCAGAGCCCTTTGACTCCGAGACCAGGAAGGCAAGTTTCTACTCCTGCTGTGTGAGCTGCATCTGACAATGGGCACCCTTCTCTTGGGGTCTGCTTGCACTGCAACCCAGCTGTCCTCCAGGCTGGGAGGCCAGATCTAGGCTGGCCCCTTTTGGGGGCTAGGAGTCTGTAGGACAAGCTGGGTTACCTGTCTTTCCCAGAGTTTCTTCATTACTGTAGATTCTCTCCCACCCTGCTGCCTGCCTCCATCCCTCAGTGCACTGAACAGCTTTCCTCTAGAAGTCTCACACACCACCCCCAGCTCTGACCACAACCCCTGGTTTGCTTACTCCCAGACACTTACATCCTGGGACTTCCCCCTCAGGCCCCCAGGCACCAGGTTTCCCCAAACCTCCCTTCCTGCAGGGCTGCCTCCTGGCCAGGGTCCTCTCCTGGTCAGCCTCAGCCCCTCCCTCTCTTGTTTATGCCTGTACCCAGGTCCTCAGGGCACTGGAGTCAGGCAGACCTGGATGCAAATGCTCACTCACTGCCTTGGGCAGCCTTCAGCCTCTCTAGGCCTTATTACTGTTATAAAACAGTTAGTACCTATGTACTATGGTTTCCTTGTTCTTTTAATGCTCTGACCCCTTCAGGCCTGCAACCCTGCAGGAGCTCCTAACGGAGCTGACTCTGGCCTTAGATGTGTCCTATGGCCACTTCCCTGATCCTGGCTACCACCATTCCTCAACTGATAATCAACCAATCCCTGCCTGGCCTCCTTCCCCCTGGCTTCCTTCCTTCTAGTGCAGCCTGAGTTCAAGTCCTAACAGTCAAAGCTGCCTGGCTCCTGGCTGCCCAGAGAGTTCAAGTCACAGTCCAAGCCCCAGGCTCTTCAAGCCTATTCTTGCTGGTTCCCTGCACTTGGGTGCTGTCATATCCAGACTGACCTCTCCCCTGCTTCCAGAGTTCCCTCCTTTTCAAAGCAGTTTCTCTACTCTGAAAACTCCTATTCACCCTTCAGTACCCAGCCCCAGTGCCTACTGGAAGTTTGCCTTAACAGCCAAGTAGCCAGCACTGAAATTGCTTTCTAGGTTCCCCTTGGAGATTTTTACCATTTTAATCCCAGTTGTGCTTTCTGGGCCTCTTGGCTGAGTTCCAGCCCTTGTGACCCTGGCCTCCTGGTCCCTAGGTGATCCATATGCAGTGCAACCTGGAAAGGAGTGAGGACAAGGCACGCTGGCATGTGAGCAGGGCCCTGGGCTGGGCTGGGAAAGGAAGGGCCTGCCAACTTTGACTTGGCACCGACCACACCCTCCTGCCCCAGCTCACGTTGCTTCTGGTGCTGGAGGACAGACTGCACAGGCAGCTGACCTACGACCTGCTTCCAAGTAGGCGACTGGGAACCCCAGGCTGCAGGCCTGAAGGTGGGCGGTGGGCAGTGGTTGGTGCCGCAGCCTTATGAGTTCCCATGTGCCCTTGTTGCAGCGGACAGCGCCCAGGACCTCGCAGCTGAGCTGGTGCACTACGGCTTCCTGCGCGAGGTTGGCAGGGTGGGGCGTGGTGTGGCTTGCTGGAAGGGTGCAGGACTGCTCTGCCGCAGGTCCCCCATGCCTCCCTCCCCTCTTTAGGATGACCGGTTGAAGCTGGCCGTCTTCCTGGAGACCACCTTCCTCAAGTACCGTGGGGCCCAGGCCTGATCCTTCCAGCCCTGGAAGCCCTGCCCTGGCTCTGCTGGCTCAGGGCTGTCCCTGTGGGGAAGAGTCCAGCACTTCTTGGAGTTGCCTTCTGCCTGCTAGCCTGGGAGCTGATGAGCACCTGCCCTGTTAGTGAGGATCCCTGGCCTCCTTCAGCAGCATGGGACCCTGAGGTGGTGGTTCAGTGGCTGAGGCAGCCAGCATGGGGGTACAGGGTGGGATCTTCCATGGACAGACCTCCACCAGGGGAATCACTCCATCATTCTGGGTTGAGCAGCCATCCTAAGTTGGCACCACAGACCCAGGCAGGGTGCCTGGACCTCATAATGTGATGGGGCCCCTGCAGCTGTCATAACCAGTGCTGGGCATCAAGCAGGGCCAGACCTGGCTGGAAAGAGGGTAAAGAGCCTGGAATTGAGGCCATGGTCAGCAAAGCCCCTGGTCCCATGCAGAACATCCCTGCAGTCCCCCTCTCTGACCTTGCTCTGAGACCAGGATCTGGGGCTCTGGCACCATCACCAATACCCCAGCCCCTCTAATGGGCTATTTCTCTCCTGTATTACCTGGCATGGAGAGGTCAGAGGTCAGGTGTCCTCCCAGACCTCCTCCCTGGAGCAGCTGTATTCTGGGCCTGGAGATGTGGGCTTCTGTTTCTCTGTCTCTCTCTCCCACCCAACTCCTGTCAGGATTTTAGAGGTTTCATTACTTCCATGAATTCTGCCTCCACCTCCAGTGCCCTTTATTGAACTGCCTCTCCTCCAATTTCAAATTCAGCTAAATGATCTCAAACATTTTAAATTTTATGTATAAATTTAATGTATTCAGGTTTCTGTTTAAACATTTCAAATGTCAAACCAGGAAGGCTCACTAACTGTATTAGTTCTATATTGCTGCTGTAACATTTATCACAACCTTAGTGGCTCAAAACAACACAAGTTTATTATAATTCTGTAGGTCAGAGTCTGATACGAGTCTCACTAGACTAAAATCAAGGTGTTGGCAGGTGGTGTTTTCCTAGGTTGGCAGGTGGTGAAGATCCTAGGGGAGAACCTGCTTCTTGCTCATTCAGGTGTTGGCAGAATTCACTTCTACACAGTGGTGGGTCCTGTTTTCCTGCTGGCAGTCAACTGGGGACCACTCTCCATTACCAGAAGCGGCCTGCATTCCTTGGCTCTCCTTCTCCACTCAAAGGCAGCAGCAGTAGGTTGAATTTTAGCGTGAGCCAGATATCTGGTTGTCTGAAGCCAGGAAGGTTCTCCATAAGGACTCCTGCCTGCAATTGGGTGGACTCCCCCCAGATAATCCAGGAAAATTGCCCCTCTCAAGGTCTCTAAGATTAATCACATCTTCAGGCATATATTTTGCCATATTAAGTGGCATTCACAGCTCCACTGATTTGGGAATGGACATCTTCGGCAGGGGACATTCTCCCTACCATACCCCCTTAACCAAAAGCCCAAAACCAAACCAGATTTGCCAAGTCATATAAAATAAATTAAATGAACAACTATAATGAATCTCAAGTTATTTTAAACATTCTAATACTCTTTACAAATATTTTCAGATTCTCATACCTTTCATCTTAAAATTGCAGATTTCAAATAACCTGCAGATTCTAGGAGAGAATCCTGTTGCTAAAATGATTGTGCATAGTCTTCAACAGTTTGAGTGGCAATCACACAACTGATCTGAACTTAAAAACACCGATACTAACATTGCTGCATTTAGGCATGCCTACCTGAGTTTTTAATGTTTAGTTCTATCTTTTCAGAATTATATGCATATTATTTTAAAAATGGAATGGTGTGAGGACAATAATAAATGCAGTCTCCTACCCTGACTTCCCCCCGTTTACCACTCTTAGCTGTTTCTGCAGACATTCAGAACCCACATTTTTCTACCCTCAAGCACTCTTTAGTCCTATGTATTGTTCTACATGAGGTGTCTCCAGGTGGCATCCTCTGGAGGGAGGAGTCCTCTGCCTCCTCTGATACATCACCCCAGTGTGATGGGTATTATTCTCTGGGTGTGAGTAAGCTTCATTACCAAAAGTCTCCACAAAGAACAAGGTATCCTAGTCTAGGTTATATTTTCTTTCTTGTACAATCTTTTCTGTTTTCCCTGGAGTTAATAATTGTCTTTTTTTTTTTTTGCTTAGTTTTCTGATATGGACGCCATTAATTCATTTTTAGATTTCCCCGAGTAAGTGTGACTCTCCTCTCAATACTCCACAATCAAGGCATAACTGACTAGTTTCTTCTTCCTGGAGTCCCCAACTTGTTCTTGTATTCTGGCCCCACTCTTAGCCTGGGTCACCCTTCACCAGGGTCCTGGAGTCCTTGCTCTGTGACTGCATCCCATGCTTTCCTCTTCCTTTGCTGCCCTGAGAAGCAACATCTTTCAAGTTGCCTGGGAGAGGATGCATGGAAGATTATAGGTTCTTTCCCTGTTTGTCCTTATTCAGACCTCACACGTTTTTAAGTGTATCTGGATACAAGAAGTTTGATTTGGTTGAAAGTCACCTGTCCTAAGATTTTGAAGGTGTCATGTCATTTTCTTCTAGTTCCAAGAACTCTCCATGCCTCTGTGAATGCTGCCCTTTGCCTACAAGCTCTTTTCTCTCATTTTCTCTCAATCTTTTCTTTGCCCCAGTAACTGTTTCATCCATTGTCCAGAGATGAAAATTTTCTTGAATTACTTCTTTATTTTCCCCTTTCCTTATATTCTGGACAATTTATTGAGATGTCGGACGCATCTTTTGAGAGATGCAATCATGTGTCTAGGTGCCCAGGCTCTGAGAAGATCTGCTGCTCCCTGCAGCATGAGCTCAGTTGTGCCTGTACTTCCTCATCTGGAGCAGTGGAGGGAGACCCTCTGCAAAGGGTCACTGTAAGGTTGGCATGAGCTCCTGTGTGAGAAGCCAGAACAGTGTCTGGAACCAAGCATCTGTCCCTGAAAGCTGCCCCCAGACAGTAGTGCTTGGGGCTCCCCCTGGTAGTAGTGGTGAGATCCAGCCCCAGGTTTCTGTGCCTGGAGAGTACTGACTGACCTGATTATGATAATTGACATTTTCTAGCTATCTGGCTTCGTTATGCATTCTGGAAGATTTCAACTTTATCTTTCAATCCTATAGAACTGCTCATGTCTTTTTCACATTTCTCTTTTTTTGGGGGGGCATGTACTAAGGATTGAACTCATGGGCACTCAACTATTAAGCCAAATCCTTAGCACCCCCCTTTTTAAATTTTATTTAGAGACAAGGTCTAAGCACCTCGTTGTTGCTGAGGCTGTCTTTGAACTCGCAATCCTCTTGTCTCAGCCTCCCAAGCTGCTGGGATTATAGGCGTGTGCCACCAGGCCCTTCTCACATTTTTTCATTTGGAAGATATCTCTCTCTCTCTCTCTCTCTCTCCTTTGATTAATCTTTCTCCACAGAAAACCTGGGAGAGGATGCATGGAAGATTATGGGTTCTTGGTTTTTGGATGTGACATCTCTGAGGACGTCTTAGCTTTGCTTTCTTCCTCTGCTCCTCTCCTCATCCTCAAATACTGTGATTCTGGACTGGCCAGTTGCATTTAATGGTAAGATATCCTTCGTGCCTGGGGCTTGTTATCTGGTGAACTTGGAGGCCAGGCATCTGGCTGGCATTCTACTAGACACCCTGGCTGCTAATCTTTTCTTTTGAGCTGCTGCAGAAAGAAGAGTTTGTGGAGGCTGGTGCCACATGTGGGGAGGCCAAACTTTGAAAAGGAGGGTAGAGGAGGTAGGGGAAAGGGCAGGAGTCTCACTGCCCCACTTTCAGAACAGGGCCAGGCCTCAGTGCTCCTCTCCTGGAGCCCTAAAGTACCTGTAAGCCCTGGAAGTAGGGACAGAGGCCTGGATTCTTCTCAGATACTGACATCCACAATCCAGTCTGCTAAAGTAGCTCTGCTTCTACCCTTCCCCAGCTCGGCGTCCCACACCCTTACCCTCGTGTTATTTGCCTTTTTAACGCTACTTTTCTGTCATTTTAGAGGGGTTTCAGGAGGGAGGGGAGGAAATTATTCTGCCATATTTTACTATAGGTGTCTATATTCAATTCTAAAATTTTCCAAGGTTGGTAAGAGACCTTAGCCAGGGAAGACACTTTTGTTGCCTTAGATAGCTGAAGAATGCCTGAATTTACAGAAGTGGTTTCTTCCAGGTATATAACTGAGTTGAGGTTTTGGGACTGAGTACAGCCTATGGCCAATGTCAGGGGAGCTCTTCACACAGCACAGATGGACACGTGGGCACCTTTAAACGTAGCTCAGGGCTTACTGGAAGCTCCTTGCATACTGTTCCTACAGGATAGGCTCCTGAGCCATCTTCTGGAATGCAGGGCCACCGACTGCATGTCATTCCATCTAGGAAGCAAAGCACCCATTCAAACCACTAGTAAGGAAAACAGGCTGACAATTAAACGGAGTCTCCTGACTTCGGAGATGTTACAAAGTAAAACGATGCTTCTCAAAATCAGTGCGGCCTCAGCTGTCCACGCAGACTCCCTCGGCGCGGGGGTGGACGGACCGCTCTTTCCCCCGCCACCTCCCGGAGAGTAAGCGGACGCTGGTGCAGTTTGCAGCAGGCAGAGGGTGAGTGGCCGAGCCGGGCGTGACGCAAGCCTCGCGCAGCGGACGGCCTCTCCCCGCCCGCTCCTACAGCGAGCCCCGCCCGTCTCGAGGCGTTCACTGTTTCTCGCCTCCCGGAAGCGCGATCCTCCCTCCACGTCGCAGGCACAAGGTCGTTATCGCGAGAGTTTCTAAGCCGGCGCCTAGATCGCGCGAGACTGCGGAAGAAGCGGGAGCGTGTGGCGCGCGCGGCGGCCGCGACGGACGCAAGATGGCGACGGCGACCATAGCTCTCGTAAGTGAGCCCCCCACGGCCGCGGGCGGCCCTCGACTGTTGGGAGCGGGTCTTCGGCCTGGCCAGTGCGCGGAGGGTCCCCG